AACCCTGATAACACACGCAGATGAAGACGAATGATGCCTCATCATCTGGACAGGTCAAATATCAGTGGGTCTGACAGCTGGAGATGCATTTATTGACAGATATTGATTGTAGTACAGTTGCATCCACAGGTTATGAGGTTAAATATCAGATCAGATGATGTATAAACCGCTGCTTAAACGACCGGACCACAGCAGAATAAATCCTCATCATTTTCTGCAGTCCATTTGCAGATTGCATGTATAAATGAAAAAGTGTTTCCGAATGAAATTGCCTTCATCTTGCATTATGTCATTACTTTGGCTTCCGTTCACTAGATTTTAATTTTGCATTTATGATTTAATTTTCATCTGCTTCAAGGTACTTTAAGTTGGATATATGAATGTGTTTGTCATGCATGATATGTCACTTTGACACATTTGTTTTTCATTTTATGCTTGCTTTTTTTCATTAGACGCATTTCAGTATTAAATTAAAAGGCCTTCGGTGGACAAAAGCCTCCCTGGACGCTGGTGGACAAGGTAAATATTGAGTCTTTCTCCCTGATTCTCCGGTCAGACGTCACGCTTTCTTATCCTGACAGGTGCTTTGCTTTTAGCTTTGCCATGTTACGCTGATATTTATCCCTGATATGAACAAGTTTAATTATATTTGATGCTGGTCCAGAGCCGAAGAGACGTCAGACGTGTGTGTGATCCTGAGGGACGTGAACTCAGCCTGAGCTCCAGCGCTGATGGCTTTAATCACATCTGGATGCGTCTCAGCAGAAAACATGGAGTTTGTGCATGATTCAGTGCGTGTCTGTCCATCAAAGATGTGTCGAGATCCATCTGTGATTATAATTACAGCCATATCAAAAATTAACATTCACCTCCTCAGAATCAGGTTTTTAGAGACTAATTAAAGACAGAGACGGAGAGTTTTCCCACTTGTGCTCTGGTTATTGAAGATGAGACGCTTGTAATCGTGGGATTGCTGCAGATGAACATCCTTCTGAGCTCTAGATCCAGATTCATTAAATCACTCTCAGTCTGAAAGCTCTAATGCTCATTCAATTAAAGCATGGTAATCGTACGTCCAGATGCCTGATGGGAAGCTACTTTCCTTCGGTCGCTCGCTGGGGGTTTGTAGCATTAGAACCAATGCTCTCGCAAACAAAGTGTAAATATCACCTCTCCTCGTTCTTCTCTGCATTTCACTCATACTAAATCGAGTTTTCTGATAAACGTGGCTCTGTATGCTGGGAATATTGTTGGCTCTGATGAATTGCTACTCTATTGCAAGTTGTTTTGGATAAATCATCTGCAAAATGCTTGAATGTAAGTGTAGCTGATCAGTTGCTCTGGATCCGTGTGTCCAGTTGTTTCTACACAAGCTTAGTTCGAATGGTCAGTTTTCTATGGAAGCCTGTTTCATGGAATAAAAAAATAACCTTATCTTACAAGGTGGACTATGTTTTTGACTTTATAGCTTGCAATTCTGAGTTTATATGAGCAGTTCTGACTTCTATTCTCAGAATTGCAAGAACAAACTCAGAATTTTGAGATTAGAAAGTTGCAAGTACAACAAGCTTCCGTAGTTATCTCTATTTCAGCTAAAAGGGATAGCTTTCCCAAAAATGAAAATCCTGTTATGATTTACTCACCCTGGTTTGGTGAGTTGCTGGTCTCCATTGAGTTCCATAGTATGGAGAAAAAAGATCTATGGAAGTCAATGGGCACCAGAAATTGTTTGGTTCCCCACATTCTTCAAAATATCTTCTTTTGTGCTCAACAGAAGAAATAAACTCATACAGGTTTGAGGGTGAGTAAATGATGACAGAGTTTTCATTTTTGGGTGAACTATCCGTTTTACTAGTGTCATGGTGGAGCATTAGTTTGAAGAGAATCTTGTTAGTTGAATTATCTGTATAATTAATAAGACATCTGGTTCAAAGTAACAGACGCTTGACGTACGTTAGTGTTTGAGGAGTTACTGATGCTCTTGTGTTTCTGGTCTCAGGTTGAGAAGAATGAAGAGGCCGATCAGGAGATCAAGCAGGATGGAACCAAACCGGAGGAGAACGCCCACAAGGCCGCCACCAAGATCCAGGCCAGCTTCCGCGGACACATCACCCGGAAAAAGATGAAGGACGGAGAGAAAGACGAGGAGAACGACGCCGCTCCGGACGAGTCCGCCGAGGCCGAGGAGGAGAAGAAGGAGCGAGTCTCTCCATCGGAAGAGAAACCTGCTGAGGTTTCCACGGAAACAGCAGAAGAGAGCAAACCGGCCGAGCAGCCCAACTCGCCAGCCGCAGAAGCCCCGCCCACCGCTGCCACTGACTCCGCCCCCTCGGACACGCCCACTAAAGAGGAGGCGCAGGAGCAGCTGCAGGAGGCGGAGAATCCAAAAGAGGTGGAGAACACGGCAGCCGAGAACCCCGCCCACGATGTAAACGCACAGGAGGAGGAGAAGAAAGAGGAGGAGAAGAAGGAGGAAGCCAAACAAGCCGATGAGCCTGAC